TTGTGGGGCACTGGTTGACAAGGACATGAGTCCCGCCAGGCCAGCCTGGGCCTGCCTTAGCTCCAGGATGCCCGTGGCAACCAGAGCAGGGAACCCGCTGCTCGCCTGCCCGGGGGCTGTTGCACCTACGGAAGCCAGGCCAGGCAATGCCTGGCTCCCAGCCCAGCAGCCCAGCAAGGGGTGCTCGGGCGCGCCAACACTGCAAAGCCAGGGAGAGCTGAGGCAGCCCACGTGGCCCCAGGACACCGCTGGGCAGACCACGTGCACAGCTGGGGGCCACCTTGGGGTGCTGCAGGGGTGCTGGAGCGTGGCTGCCACCACCCAGACTGATCTGTCAGAGTTCATGCTTAGGGACTATCCAAGGTTTGTTCCACGCTGAGTTCCCTCCAGCTCCAGGGGTGTGTCTGTCCCCCTCCTCCAGGACTTGGTGACCAGGGCTCTCCCTACACTAAGCCAGCTACACAGCAACCCCAGAATCCACACGGGAGACACCAAGAAGCATCACCCCACCCTCTCTTACCCACCAGACTGCCTGGTGTGGGCCCTGGCCCTGCCACCTGCTGGGTGAGCTGCGGCAGTGCTGAGCCTCTGTCTGCTCTGTCAAGTCGCCTCCCAAACCACCTCCCGGGGAGACTGTGGAGGAGCCTGACTGGCATCAGCCACTCACTCGGCAGATGTCTCCTGAGCGCCTGCTCTGGCTGCTGGTTTACAGCGCGAGCAGAACGGGTCAAGCTCCTCCTCCCCTGCAGCCAGCGCTGTCGTAGGAGGGAGGGACTGGCAGTCACCGCAGTGGGTGGGAGGGACAGCAGTGGGTGGGAGGGACACCGTGAGGCATGAAGAAAGATGAGGCTGGGAAGGGGACAGGAAGTGCTGGGGGACTTGAAAGAGGAAGCCCAGGACAGCCTCACCGGGCAGCTGTCCCGAGTCAGGATTCACAGGAAGTTTGGGAACAGGCCAACAGGCTCCCCTGGGCAGGGACTGAGTGTTTCGGGTGGAGGGAGGAGCCAGTGCAAAGGCCCTGAGGCAGGAATGTGTCTGGCAGGTGTGAGAAGCAGCAAGCTCCCAGCGTGGCTACAGCAGGTGAGGTGGGAGAGTGGCAGGAGGTGTCCCCGGGTGCCCCCAGAGGGGCCCTGACTCTGACTGGCATGGGAAGCATGGAGGATTTTGAGCTGAGGGGTAACATGGTCTGACATGTATTTTTAAATGATCATTCCTTCCGCTGTTTTGTAATGGACCGTAGAGAGCAAGGGCAGAAGCAGGGACACCAGCCAGGAGGCCAGAATCCAGGTGAGAGATGGTAAGTAAGGGCTGGCCCGGGCTAGCAGCAGGGGAGAGGGCGAGGGGGGCTCAGAGTCTGGACACGTTCTGAAGGCAGTGCCCACAGGGTGTGCGGATGAGGTGGAGGAAGAGGTGTGAAGGGAAGAGGTGAATCTAAAGGAACGCCAGGGGTGGGGACCCGGGCCAGGGTGCCAGCGGACCTCTGCACTGCTCGAGCACCGCAGCAGCACATGTCGCCAGTGTGAGCAGGTAGAAGGCGGGGCCGGGGCCCCAGAGCCATTTTCCTGGGGCAGCGGCACAGGAGGCAGAAGCACTGTGGCTGCTGTGTGGGGGCTCACCAAAGGTGTCTATTATAGAGAACACGCTTCCTGCACGTGGCCAGTCATACAGGAGAGCAGCCGCCTACAGCTGGGAGGCCGGCCCCACTCTCCACCGAGCAGGCCAGCAGGTGGCCTGGAACCGAAGCCCCGGGCTCCGGCCTGCTGCCCACTTCCCCCGCCGAGGCTGGGCGGTTGCAGGCCTGGCCTTCCCTGCAAGAGGGAAAGGGACAGGGCCCCCCCACCCAGCCCCCGTGAACGCTCAAGGCCCCTGCTGCAGCACACTTGAAAGAGGCCGGGGTTATCTGCACAACTCCAATTAAATCCACAGGCTTTGATAATTTGATAAGCCACTCCACAGTCGCCCCAGAGTCAAAACACGCTGTCACTCGATCCTGTGTTTACGTTCAGGACGGTGGCCTGGGATGGTGCAGGCAGCTCGAGAGGGCGGGGGGAGGTGGGAGGAGAGCAGGCACTAGGCTGACAGATCCTCAGCCTGCCAGCCCGGGGTCGCCCGCGGGGCTGGGCTCCCAGGGCAGCACACTCTACAGGGCAACCTGGGTCTCTCTAGGAGGGTCCCGGAGGCCGAGCGGGGGCAGGGCAGCAGAAGCCACTTAGAACTGTCTGGCCGCAGCTAACCCCACTCTCCGGCCTCAGGCCTGTTTCGTGCTGGGCGGGTTCCTGTTCTCTGGCAACAATCTCTTGCCAGGCCAACGGGGAACCAGCCCAGGTGACTGATGCTGCCCCAGGAAAAAGGCAGAAAACCCCCCTTCCATGGTGACTTGGAGCCCAAACGCGTTAGAACTGCCCCCTGCAAAGCCAGGCTGTGGTCTGCGCGGTGGAACACTCTCGGAGCCACATTCCCTTCTGCGCCACCACCTTCCCTTGAACAAAACCTCGGAGCGTTCCCACGTGCCAGCGGAGCCTCGCCGGGCTGGCTGGTGCAGGACACGTTGCCTCTGTGAGCCCTCGTGACCGCTCTCCGAGTCCCGCATCATCTCGTTCGAGGAACGGAAAAACAGAAAGGCACTGGGGTCGAACAAGAGCCAGAAACGCAGAGGTGAGTGGCAGGCCCCGACCCCAAGCCTGGCCCCACAAAACCACGCCTGCTGCCTCGCTGGTGCCCTGCTGTCTCCCCAGCCCAGCTTGCACCATCCTCCCATCCTCCAGGGCCTTGCAGAGATGGGCACGAGGCTCACCTGCCCGGAGGGCACAGGCTGTCAGGTGAAACAGGGCCAATTTATTCAGCTGGCTGGCAGAGAGGGGGGTGCAGAGGCACAAGTCCAGGCGGGGTCAGTTGGTTTTGTGGCGATTCCCCTCTTACTTCACCCGCCAGCTGTGGTCCCTCTCCCCTGTGGTGGGCACGTGATGATGGGCAAGGGGCTCCAATGACAACCTTGTGGAAAGGGCATCTCTCTCCCGTGGAAGGAGGGAGAGCAGGGAGTTCTGAGAGGCCACCCAGAGCGGCAGCGCTGGGTACAGACTGAGGGACAGTCTCGAGAACCTTCCTTTGCCCTGGGAGAGTGGGGGGGGGGGGTCTGGCAGGGGTGCGCAGAGCGGGAGGACAGAGAGGACATGAAAGGCATCGGGCCCACAGTGTGGCCCCCGACTCCCGCCCAAACCGTGGAGGTACGTGCGAGGAGTGGAAAGACTATGGGCCTCTGACACCAGCAAACTGTGGGTTCAAGTCCCGCTCCAGCTGTGAGCCTCAGTTTCCTTATCTGAGACGTGGGGGTGAGGATGTAAAACTCTTGGCGCAAACTCTCCCACGAGCCTGGCACGTAGTAGGTGCCGCGAGAGCAACGCCTCTCCCTCCACTGAGAACACACATTTGGAACCCATTCTGATGTCTGCCAAGCTCTTGCCCAGCCCTCCTGTCACCTGAGTTTCTAGACAATCCCTGGAGGTGGCAAGAGCAGGGATTAATCACCATGCCTTTGTACAGAGGAGGAGAGAGAGGCTGAGGGAGTATGTGCCTTGGGGTTGTGTGACCAGTGAGCAGCGGAGTCACACGTGAACTTCCCCGATGAATTTCTGAACGATCGTCCCCCTTTGCTTGTTTCCTATGCTGGTGGCAGCCGGCGAGGGAGATGGCCTTCGTCAGGGCCAGGAGAGGCTCTCAGCTGGATAATGCTTTCCCCTCGACCTCTAAGGGCCCAGGCCGTTTCGGGCTTTGTCTTACAGCGCGAGTGAGGAGAAGGGCCCCTTTCGGAAGGACCGCAGTGCGTGGGTGTGCAGCCCAGGCGCCAGGCACAGACAGTGCCGATGAACGGTGCCCCGGGGCCGTGGGACGCACACTCTGGTCTCCAGGCTTTCCCCTCCCCGTCACCAGATGGCACCTGCCTCTCGCTGCCTGTCCCAGGTGGTTCCTCTGGACTATTCTCTCCTTTCCCTCTACAGTGCCTGTCCCATCTGCCTCCCTGTCACCCGCCCTGGTACTTCAAGATTTCAGGGGACAGAGGTGTGAAGTGAGGTGACCCATCAGCATCTCCTTCGAGTCCTCTCCCCTGCCCAACACTCTTCCCTGGCTCCCTATTCTGCTCATCAGATCTTTGGTGGAAGCTAGATTCTCCTCACCACTGAGAGCCTCCTCTGGAGCATGCAGGTGAGAGGAGTGTTCTGAGCAAGAACAGATGGAGTTCGGTCACATGCGTGAGAAGCCGACATGCCTGGACGGGTCATCTTGACCACCAGGTCCAGAGAAGTCTGCTTCCAGGGAGAAAAAAGACCTGCCTGGTTCCCCGTTTCTCCCCAAACATGGCAACGGCAGCCACTAGGAACCAGAGGCGCTGGTTCAAGTTTCACACCTGTTACCTCACGCCCACCCTGTTTATGACGCTAGGAAAAAGCACCTGACTTCACTGGGCTCCAGTTTCCCTCTCTGTAAACAGGGCTACTAATGTCCACCACAAAACGCTACAGGTAAAAGCCATTGGGTGAGAGCTCTGTGCACAGCCGGCGGCGTCTTTGACCATGGCTATGAGATCGGCGGGGGCAGCTCCGGACGCCGAGTTACTCCATGGCGGGGCACCAGCCCGAGCAGCAGGCGTCCTCCTAGGCCTACATTCCCACAGGGAGCTTGCGACCACCAGCGGCGAAGAGCAATGACTGCTAAGCTTGGGCATCTGAAAGGTGTGCCATTACATCTTCTATTTCTTTATCTGCTCCTTATAACCTGGGAGCCAGAAAGAGTTGGCAGGAAAGCCTGCTGCCCAGATGCAGAGACACCCTCCTTCTCCAGCCGCGGCCCGGAGGGCGGTGAGGAGGAGGCTCTGATGGAGAGGAGCCTGGGAAATGGGCCCCGTCCCTTCGGCGCATCTCTCCTTAGCCTGCGCTCCCTCTCCTTGTGTCCCCACATCCTGGCCTCCAGCCCGGCCTCAACGTTAGCCCACACCTGCCACTTACTCTTTTGGGGGGTTGACGTCCTCTGGCCGGGCCTCGAAGAACTGGAAGACTTCGTCACACTGTGAAATGTGGGGAGGCAGCCGGACCAGCGCCTGTGGAGAGATGGGAGAAAGGGCGTGAGGCCCGATGACGCTGGAGCCGGCAAAACCGGAAGTGGGCTCGGCCTCGGCCAGCAGTGACGGGGAGGCTCCAAAACTGTGCCGTGGAAGACGGTTAACTAGTCACCCACCCATCCAACCAGTCAGTGGATTAACCAATCAGCCAATTAATGAAACAACTCTCCATCTATCTGTGTATCCCATCAACTAACCAACCAGCCAATTAATCACTAACTAACCAGTCAACTCATAAAAATAACTAAAATAAAAAAAATCAGTCAACCAATCAATCATCCAGCTAACAGTTCAACCAACCAACCAACCACCAACCATCCAACTAGCCAGTCAACCAACTAAACAATCAGCCCATCAAACAAAAACAAATACCCACTGAACCCTAGGTCTCAGGGCCCTCGGGAACTACTCATCCTGCAGGAATCCCGAATGAATTCCCTTCTACCCCAAAGTCCAAGATGCTACTCTGGCAACCCCAGGTCTTATCCCAGCAGCAGCCGTCCAACTGCACCAGGTACAGTCCCTACACACGGACCGCACACTCGGCCTTGTAACAATGAACTGGTAATTCTACCAAGGGCAATGGGGCACCAGCACATTGTCTGATGGGACCTAGATTGTTTCAAAGGGAGAGAGGCTTTAGAAAGACTCTCCGAAGCTGAGTTCTGGAGGGTGGCTGAGAACTGACTGGCCAAGGTCGGCGGAGATCCAGTCGGAGGTTCAGGAGTTGAGTGAGGGCAGTGTGCCCTGAGAGCACTGAGGCGGGGGGAGGGGCAGGAGCCTGAGAGAGCAGATCTCATTTAGGCTCAGCGGAGGACGCCCGAAGGAGCAGTGCACTCTGGAGAGTGTAGGAAGACTTCTTGGAGGAGTGGGCATGAGCTGGGCCCGAGGGGTTCGCAGATCTGAACAGGCAGAGAGAAGAAGAACGCGCATCCCTTGAGGAACAACTGTCCAGGCAAGGGGCGTGGACCTGCTCTCTGCACGTGGTGTCCAGGGGAGACGGAGAGTCTGGTGTGGGCAGGTGAGGGATCGCAGTCAGACGCTGGTCAGAGTTCCTGCTACACACCAGCACGGACCCTACACCTTGCAGCCTGGGGCACAGAGGTCCCCTGGCCAGGCTCAGTTGAACATGGAGGGGCAGAGAGGGGTGTCGGGTGAGACTCTGCTCCCTGGTCCCTCAGTTCGGTATTGGAAGAAAACACTGGGTGACCCTTTGGCCCAAACAGGAGAGGCCACTGTCAAAGCAGGGCCGAGGGACAGGGCCATGGGAACTCCGGGCTGGAGCCAGAAAGCGGAGGGAACCCAGGACTGCAGGAGCGTGAGGGACGGCTGACAAAGGAGCCGTGGCCAGCAGGCGGTCAGTCAGGACCCCTTCACAACCTGCGCCTCTGCAGCCCCTCCCCCAGGGCTGCTTCGGGAACAGCGATGCCCGGTCCCGCTGCTCCCCAGAGCCGAGCATGCTGGGACCTCCATGTGCAGTCACTGGGGACTGCCACTGTCATGACACGTGGTCAGGAAAGCAGCTCTCACCTGCACGTCACGGGTTTGGGGACAGAGGCTGAGGGAGGCCCCTGAAGGGTGGGAAAGACCTCACTGGAAGGCAAGCTCCGCGCGGGCTGGGACTTGAGCCCGGTCTGTCGGCTGTGTCTCTGGGTCCCAGGAGAGGCGTAGGCACAGCACAGACGCTCGGTACGTGTCTGTCTGACTGAATGGGGGCAGGAAGGAATAGACAAGGGCCCGGGCGTGCAGAAGCCTGACACCCACAGCAGGGGGACGTGACACGATGATGGGGCAAAAAGCACATGGTGCTTGGGCTGCAGTGGAACTACCGCATGGAGGAGGAGGGCGGGGAGGCTAAACTCTTCTCTGAGCTGGTCAGGTGACATTCAAGTGCAGCACTGAGCACGAGGCACCCTGCCACAATGGCCCCGCTTATGCCAAACCCACAGCCGGGTGGAACAAGACAAGGCCCTGCCACGACGGGCAGGATGGCGTTGCACAAGCCCCAGCAGTTCCTTCAGAGCCCGTGGCTCCCCTCGGGCCTCCCACAGCTCACCTCTGCACACACAGCCAGGACAGAGGACGCAGGGCAGTGAGCGTGGGATGTGTGGCTGCTGCACATCAGGCAGTGTCCTTGGCCCCTGGTGTGCCCATACCCGACAGACAAGGGAGGCTCTTCGGGCTGTGCCTGGTGTGACAGGTATGAGCCGGACACAGTCCCGCACCCACGAGAGCACATCTGAGGATGTGTCGGCCGTTGTGGCCCCGAGGCAGACATCATTGTCTCTGTTTATCATGGGGACACGGAGGCTGTTGGGGGTGAATTGTAGTGAAAGAAAGTGGCAGGACGAGGCTCTGTGCTCAGAAGGTAGAGTGGGTGGGACTTGCCCACACAGAGTTCAAGTTTTCATTTAACGCAAGTGGAATGTGCTGTCTCCTTCCTGAGGAAGGGCAGAAGGAAAAGGAAAAGAAAACTGAAGCAGAAGAGAGGAACAGAGACAGAGAGTTGGAGGAGAGACAAAGAAAGAGACAGAGAGACAGAAGGAGAGACAGAGAGATGGAGACATGGAGAGAGACCGAGACGGAGACAGAGACAGAGAGATGGAGGGAGAGACAGAGACAGAGGCGTGGGCCTCAGGCGTGTGCAGGCCAGGTGCTCCCGGCAGGAGGCAGGCGGGTGTCAGAGGGAGCGCTCAGGGCAGCGGTGGGCAGGAGGCAGGAGGAGCCCACAACCAGGGACCGGGCTGTGTGCAGAGTCGCTGCTGGGGTCACCTCCCTTCTAGGGCAGGGCGGGGGTGCAGGGCAGGCTTCCAGGCGGCCTGGAGCACTGCCCCCCACCCAGGCGCAGACCCCGGCCAGGCGCGGCTCCCCCAGCACCAGTGGCGAACACAGCAGCTCTTCATGCCGACAGAGACCGGCATTCCGGGGGCAGCGGACACGTGGGCCTCGAGGGCCGCAGACAAAGGGGCCTTTCGGTGGAGCCACTGCAGACATCTTTATTTAACAGGGAGCCCGAGGGGAGCTACACCGAGGGCTCGTCCCGATTTCAGGCTGACAAGAGGCTCTCAGCTCGGAGCAACTCCCATCAGAGCCGCCGCCAAACCCATCTCTGGCCAAAATCATTTGGCAGGAGAGCCGGTGCTGAGCAGTCCTGGAGGCCTGGGCTCGGGACGAGTGCCAGAGCCGGGGAACCCCCACCCCCAGCCGCTCTGAAAGGAGCAGGTGGGAGCCTGTACACGGGTGCTGCTGGGGCACCACCCCTGGCTCAGGCCTAAGAGTCCGCCATTGGACATTCAAGATGTATGCCAGGGGGTGGTTAAGTCAGGGCCTCGGGGCCAGACAGACAGGGCCCTGGCTCTGCCGCTCACAGGCTGTGTGAGGCTGAATGCATTATTCGCCCTCTCTGAGCTCCGTGTGGTGGGTCTGATGTGGCACCGCCTGTCTGCAGGTTGAGTGAGACCATGAGCACGAGGAGCCCAGCACAGTGCCTGCCAACGTCAGCTGTGGCACGCTGGAAAGAGCACTGGAAGCAGAGTCCAGAGGCGTTGGTTCCAGTTTCAGTCCTGCCCGTATACACTTGCTGCGCAACCTCAGGTGGCTCACCTCACCTCTCTGTCGTTTCTTCTAAGGACAAAACAGACTGGCTCTGGAATCTCACACCACACCTCCTGAAACACCTGCTTAGGGAGGTAAGATGAGTTCTGTAGGCACATGTGAAAGGAGGCCTTGGAGCCCCCCTCTGGTCTGGGAGACCCCCCCCTCTGGTTTGGGAGACCCCCTCTCTGGTCTAGCAGAGCTCCCCCACCCCCAGTCTGGGAGATCACCAGGTTCTCCATCATGGCGAAGGCTCTGAGCAGCCCCCCAGGAAGGAAACCCGAGGGGCCATATTCAGACCAGCCTTTACGAGTCATAATGACCTCCTAGGGCGCTGCCTCGTTTAATCACTGCATTACCTCCAAGAGATGGGTCTGACTGTGATTCCACTTCTGCATTAGAAGAAACTCAAGCACAGAGAGTTAAGCAACTTCCCAAGACCACAGAGCGAGTCAGCAGCAAGCCCAGATGCAGCAGGCCCAGCCCAGCCTTTGCGAGTGGAACAGTGTGGGAGGGGGCCCTAGCCAGGCTGTGTTCAGACCCTCTGATTCGAAACCAACCCTGCCACGAACCCTACAGCTCGGGGTAACACCTGTCCCAGGACAAAACGCAAAGCTCTGCGTTCGGCAAAACAGTGGTGGGCGCCCTGCTCTTCACTCAGGATCAAACGTTTTCCTCTTTTCCGCAGCATCACTGCAGTTTCTGGTCAACGGACTTCTTACAGGGAAAAGCCTAACGACTCTGGGTGGGGTGGAGGTATGTGGTGGGGGAGGGTGGAGTTCTGCCTGTTTGGCCCCCGACTCTCGGCCCCTCTCCCCACTCCTGGGGCTGCCTCTACCCTTGCCCCGGCTGTTCCTCCTAAATCACCTTTTAGGGAGCTGGGGGCTCACTGACTTTTTCTATAAACCAGAGTATTTCAAACACACAAGTTCTCCTTCTGAAAGACTTAGGCAGCAAATCCTTTTGAAACGGAAATAGTGTCTAATTTGCGGTTGCCGTTTAAGCCATTTCACAAGGTATCCTAGTACCTTGGGGCCTCGGGGACATGTCACCCTCTTCAGGGGCTTCCTCTGCTTGTACGTGATCTTTGCATGCTGTCCTCAGATATGGGCTGGACACCCACGTGGGGCCACGCTTCCTGCTGGCTCGTGAAGACACAAAGATAACGAAAGTGGCCTTCCGGGGGCTCCTGGTCTGGAGAAGATGGATGCCCAGAAATCACCCTCCCACGGGGAACAAGTGTGTGATGTGGCAGCATGCACAGGGCTTTCTGGGGAGCGGAAGAGATGCAGTGAGTGGTCAGCTGTCCCTGGGGAGTCAGGAGGCTTCTGGGAGGGGCACCGTGGAAGCTGGCTGCTTCCCCAGGCAAGGGGCTGGCTCAGGCCAAGGGGCCGAAGCCTGAGGGGGTCTGGCTGGTTGGGGATGGCCACACTTCCGGCAGCCTGGACCACAGGGCGTGGGGGAGAGAGGTGGGAGCCTCAGCCTGAGCAGCACTCAGAAGCACCCCACAGAGGGCCTGGCCGAGCTGCTCAGAGGTTCTTGTGGACCACGGGGCTCCTCCGAGGGCCTTTAAAAAGGAAGGGACAGGCTGGAAACGCCTTCTCCTGCATCTGTCTGGACAGAGCAGATGAAGAGATTCTACCCACTGGGTTTCCCTGGAGGAGCAGAGCACCGGGGAGGCAAGGAGGGACCCGTCTTGACTCTCTGCCTCAGCCTTCCCCGCTGGCCACAGAGTGACCGCCCCGGCTGGGACTGGGCACGCCAGGGAGCCGGGGTGCCTCTCACAGGAGTCCGTCTGGATTGCGACAGGAACCTTTCTCTTTATTAATGAGAACCAGTGACGGGCCGTAGCGGGAAATTCCCACAGTGGGAGGGAGAGTACCTGGGACCAAGAACCACCGCCAGTAATGGCCTCTGCTTGGGAACGAAGCGAGGGTAAAAATGAATGAGCCCGTGGGAGGCGGGGGGTCAGGTGGGGGGGGTCCTTACCCTTCACAGGCTGACCCCCTGGTTGGGTCCGGAGTCCCCACCCTGTCTAGACACAGCCCACCCCTCCCCGCTCCCACAGGGAAAACCACTGATCCTGAGAGCAAGTCTATCGCCAACAGCAGAATAATAGAAACAAGCTCAGCATCTTAGACAGCAAAAACAATCTGTCACGCCCACCAGGAAATAGCGGCTTGCATAAACGTCACGAACACGGCCAAGGGGGCACTGATGGTTCTCAAACACTCTCACCCCCCCACGCCCCCACCCCAGGCTGGATAATATTTATACTATCCCCCAGACGAATACTGCACACACGTATTTCACAGGCAGGGACGGGGCAGAGGACGTCTCTTGTAAAATCGTTGGTGCGAGCCCCTAATGTATCGCTCATGCGTGCTAGTGAGATGAAAGTTTTCAACTTGTCGAGGCCACGGAACCATTAAATACGAGCCACATAACCATGTCGCCTGTTAATTAATTTATGGAGTTCAAGGAATGCCTTTGGAACCCTTCTTCACAGACACCTGGCCCTCGAGTGCCACATAAAACAATCGTTGGCTGGCGCTCGGGAGGTTTTCCATGACGCTCACCCGCTCTGCTGCCTGTGTGCTTCAAATGAACACTGAGGCGTGGGCTGTGAAATCACCGCTGGGCCGGGGGACTGCCTGGCCGGTGAGGGCAGGGAGCCCGAAGTCTGGGAGGGTCCCCAGCACTGTCAGACTTTCCACGTCTGTGTCCCGGCAGAGGAGCTGGCTGCTCTTTGTGCAGCGCAGCCAGCCTCATGGTTTTGGGTGCGAGAGAATCCCCAGCAAATCCCGGACTCGGTGAGCACATGGTCTGGCAGGTCCAAGGAAGTAGATGTTGCCCAGCCCAGCAGAGCTGCCGATGCAGGGCCTTGCAAATAGAAACCCCAGAGATTCTAAGGACAGGCATGGACAAGGGCAGGGCTGGCCATGGAGTGGAATACACACAGCATTGACCGTGGACTCTGCTGTGGGAAACAGTGATGTTGAGCAAAATGCTGGATCCTCAGTGGCCATAGATTGGGCTATTGGGTGGCAGAGCTGTGAAATGCAACCCTGAGTGGCAGTGACCATGGACCGTTATTGCTGTATCCCTAATGAGCATTCCAGGGTCATTCTAAGGTCTCAGACAATCAGACTACAGACCTCGACTTTCTCGTTCAGCAGAATTAAAGGTCACTTCTGTGCTGCCCTGCCCCCCACCATTCTCAGGGTAAATACGGCCTGGAAGATGTCTGGCTGCTTGGTGACCCCATGACATCGCCTGGCTCTGAGTCCTCCTCGTCTGAGCTAATCAGGTTAGGAGGCTCCTCCTCCTGCAGGCCCCACTTAACGGTGCCCTCAGCCACCAGCAGCAGCACCCCTGGGGCCCCAGAGTCTCCCTGGATCTCATCCTGATTCAGAAATCCTGTTCAAAGCCTGCTCCCGGGAGATAAGATGTTATCGGTTTCTAGATGATCTCACAGAGGCCGACTGCGGATGCCTGGGCTCTGCCACCGAGGCCAACATGAGCCAAGAGTCCCGGCTGGAAGATGACTCTTCCTGCCCTTAGTCCCCTCCTCCACTAGCTTGGCCCATTGATTTAACTTCTTGGGGAAGGAATAAAGAGAAATCGAAGCTCAGGCCACAGCCATCAATTTAACTGGAAACGGCAAATGCCATTTAAAAAGAAAGATGAATAGAGGCACACCTCCTTTTACTGTGCTTCGCTTTATATCAAGCTGAACAGATGTTGCCTTTTCCACAAATTGGAGGGAAGACCCTCCACCAGCAAAGAGATTACGATACTTGCTTTACTGTAGGGCTCTAGAACCGAGCCCACAGTATCTCCAAGGTCTGCCTGTACTGACCTAAAGGAAAGGAGCTTCTGGTTTAAGGGAATTCATCATCGGGCCATCCTTTCAGGTTAAGGCAGAAAACGTGACCAGCGCAACCTGCTCAGTCACGAAACTCAGACTCAGGTGAGAGTGCGTGGGAGTGCTTGTCTTCCCGTGGGCTTGAGAGCATCAGCTATTAAATGTAGCAACATGATTCTCTTTTTAAGAAAGATTTTATTTATTTATTTTTAGAGAGAAGGGAAGGAAGGAAGAAAGAGGGAGCCTCTCGAATGCTCCCAACTGGGGACTCGGGCCCACAACCCAGGCATGTGTCCTGACTGAGAATCAAACTGGTGACCTTTTGGGTCGCAGGTTAGCATTCAATCCACTGGGCCACACCAGCCAGGGTGTAACCTGATTCTTATTTAAGCATTTTCATTGTCAAACACAGTGATTGAGAGTTACCAAATAGTAGTGCCAAAAGGAACTTTATGGTAACCAGTCTGTGGGGTACAGGGTATCTCAGAGTGACAAACACTGGGATAGACATTCTCTTACCCAACCCCTTTCACGAACCCTGTGGAAGAGTTGTTTTCACCCGCCTTTCATGGATGAGGAAACTGGGGCTCAGAAAGTTGAAGTAACTCTCCCAAAGTCACAGAGCTAGCAGGTGGGTCGGTGGGATCTGGCCTCAGCTCCGATACGGGCACTCACAACAAAACGTCACCCCACTTGCCTCACCTCAAGATCCTTGAGTCCAACTCCACGGTAGCTTTCATTTAACCGAGAAATTCCATCTCCATTAAAGCCAGTGAAGCTCAGTGATAACACTCAATTTTCCTGTCTTGTACTGACAGTAACAAAAATGCAGCATCTGCTGAATGCTTCCTCTGTACCTCTAAGTGTCAGTTCATTTCATCCTTGGCGCGCCCCCTGCGGAGGTACTATTCTCCTCCCTGCAGGGCAGGTGCAGAAACGGAGACTCCAGGAAGTTAAGTAACTTGCCCAAGTTTCAGAAGCTAGTGAGGAGCTCAAACTATGCAGAGACTTCTCACTCTCACTGCAGGGACCCTGGGCCCTGCGATTCATGTTCACACTCAAATCTGCTCCTGGCTTTGGCCGTTTTAATGCACGTGCACATGTGTGCTGTGTGTGTGTGCGCATGTGCGTACAAGAACATTTGCGTATATAAAGATGTATCCATGAACATCTGTATCTATCAAGACTTCTGTGAATAAACGAATAATGCATTTCGAACGTTCTTGAACTCAGAACCAATTCCAACAACATCCCAAAAGGAATTCAAAGTGATAGTTCTCCCACGCCCAGTAAAATGCCACAACAGAGAGAATCCCTTCAGTAGGAAGCCCCTTCACTGAGCTCCCAAGCCAGTGGAAGTGATTTAAAATAACATGTTGTAAACATGGACATGTCCCAAAAGGAGTAGAGGCTTAGCTGTGAGTCCGATGCCGTCTTGCCCCAGAAGAGGGTGGCCCAGTTGTGGGGCAGCCCAGTCATGGCGAGGCCCCTCCCCAAGGGACACCCGTACCCAGCCCTCTGGCCAGGAGACACCTGGCTCCAGCATGCAGCAGAGGGTTCCGTTCAGACCGCCTCCCTTCACAGGTGGACACATGAGGTGGCCCCCCAGCCCCCAAAAGCCCGGACGCAGCCTTACCCGGCAGTACTCGTCGATGGGCTTCAGCCTCCTCACGGCTACATCCCGGATGTGGCTTCTCCGGAAGAGGATTTTGCCTGGAAGAGAAATGCTCGTGAGCCAGGTGACTCCAGGCAAAGCTGCCACAGGGACCTGGACCCCTACCGCCTCAGTCCCCTCTCCCTTGGCCACCACTCCTGCTCCTTGTCAAAACAGTCACCTCTTTCAGAGGGCAGGAGGCACCCGAATCTGAGAGCCCAGGCCCTCTCGGGCAGAGGAGGAGCCCTGGAGGCTGCCATCTTGCACAGGTCTCCTTGTGTGGGTCAAATGACGGGATCAATCCCAGACCTGGGTGCAGCTCCCGAGAGGCTTCACAAATAAATACAAAGGATGGCCCAGCCCACACGCTGTGTTTTGTTTTCAGGCCCGTCCCTTCTTGAGAAATCGGCATTAGTTCCTGCCAGCCGGGCAGGAGTTCCTATTCTTAGTTTAAGGTGGGTGGCTATTTCCAGGGCATCACAGGCCAATGTCAAGGGGGCCTGGCTGCCCCAGCCTCCCGCCATCCAGGCCGCTGCTCAGCCAGGCTGACAGACCCTTTGACAGGAATAGGCAAGGCTCACAGAAATGTCAGCCCCTGGAACCTTCCCCAGAAGGCTCCTCTGGGCTAGCCGAATTCAACGGTAACAAACAGATCAATGCAAAGTCATTTTACAGTCATTACATTTTAGAATATAAACTCTAGCCCTGGCTAGGTAGCTCAGTTAGAGCGTTGCCCACACCAAGGTTGTGGGTTTGATCCCCGGTGAGGGCACACACAAGAATCAACTGGTGAATGCACAAAGAAGTGGAACAACAAATCCATATTTCCTTCCCACCGTCTCTCTTTTCCCCTTTCTCTCTCTCCCTTCTCTCTCAAATCAATTTAGAAAGAAAGAAAGAAAGAAAGAAAGAAAGAAAGAAAGAAAGAAAGAAAGAAAGAGAGAGAGAAAGAAAGAAAGAAAACCTGGAGCTTCTAGCAGCCATCTTTATTTTTGCCTAAGAAGGAAGCCAACTGAGAAAAAGGATTTGTGCCCAATAAGTGTTTCTTGATGACTGAAAAGCAAACCTGAGAGACAGCGAAAGGCAGATCACTCTGACATCATTTGAGCACCTGGATCTAGGTGTTCCTGAACCCAGGGTTTCCCTGGTGCTTTTACTTGTATAAAGCAAGACAATTATTTTTTATTTAAACTAGCTGGAGGTGGACTTTCATCACCTGCATTAAAGGAGTCCTAAAGGAGATAACCGCCATTGCATGTGAACAAACTTGTAGACCACAGGTTGATCCACTTAAGCTCCCTCCGTCAAGGCCCAGCTGAAGTACAAGGAAAGGCATTGCTTCCCCAGAAGCAGACCCGGAGACAAGGGGTCGAAGGAATGCAAGTCGTCCATTTGGGAGGTAACCCTGGGAAGCACCAGCAGGGGGATGGGGAAGGAAGGCGGGGAAGGGGAGGAAGGATTCCAGAGCCCGTTGATCACTGTGGGTCTCCAGAGTGTAGTTCTGTTGGGGAACCTGGGGGCATCGTGCAGACCACACCTCAGAGCTCTGCCCATCGAGGGCGAGGAGGTTCACGTATTTATCCACCACCCCCTGGCTTGTCATTGGGCTTTGAAGCACATTAACTCCGTGGCACCTCTAGCTGAGTGTGTCCCCTGTGGCTAGAACAAAGCCTCCAGTTGCTCCCAGGAGCAGCCTCTGGCAGGCAGAGGTGAGTGGTAAGGGGGCCTGGGGGTGGGCGGGGGCACTGACAGCAGCTGCGACAGCCATCCCTGACTTCCCTGCCACCACAGGCTCTGGTCACCAGCCCTGCTCCAGGGGAACATGTAGTTAACGCATCATGCTGCGTGAGACTGGTGTCCTATGTGTGCCACTCATCTCTCCACACACGGTGTGGATGGGAGGCCACGGTCTGCAGCGCCTTCCTCTCCCAGCACCATTCACTCCACCTGGTGCAGGGCTCTGCCTGCAGCAGGCACCTGGTGGGCACTTGCTGGCCCACTCACGCTCCTCTCCGAGACTCTCCCCCAAGCTTTCCTTCCTCCCTTTCTCTCCGAGGCCAGGCAAAGGGGCCACCTCCCCAGCCGAGGGACGACACTGTGCAGACTGGACACTGTCACTGAGATAAATAGGCTGGACCACGTGTTCCTTTTGAAAGGAGATAAAACGTGATTTATCAGGGCACTGGAGACGGCCGCTTTTTCTTGGGGGAAGATGTCACAGATTTGGTATTCCTGGCCTCTTTGCCTCCCACCCTTTTTTGGCTACCGGTCGCTTTATTGCTTGCGTGTTGCAGGAGCACATGTGCGCAGCCATGGGGACAGCACACAAACATAAACGCACGGCACGAGAGGGCCCACTCTCGGGACAGGCAGAGTGACGGGCGGCCCTGGGGCTCAGTTCCTGCACCTTCGCCCCGCGCCAGTCACCCCTCAGGAGCTGGAGCTCGCCCAGATCCAGTGACCCTGGCAGTCACGTGGAATCTCGCAGGAACCGGACGGAGGCATCAGAGAAGCAGAGGAAACCAAAGGAGACCACAGGAGGGACTGGGGCGCACGGAGCCAGCTCTGCCCTGCACCCCTTCTGAAAAGAGATAAAATGTGACTTAACCATTCCCCCCAAATGGCATCTGCCCCTTCTTGTCTTGTGGGGAGACAAAAAGGAAAAGGAGGGTGTGGGGAGAGACAAACTAGGTCCCCCTCCTAGATCCCCCCAGCTCAAGACAGGCCAAACCCCTAAGTTTGGTATCTCGAGATACAGATATCGATATAAATATACATATATAGATCACATACGGCCAGATCCATCTGCCGGGATGGAACTAGCAACAAACAATAGTCAAAGAACAATTGCTGAAGTACCAGTGGTCAAAACGGAGCTCCATCCCTTTGGGACTTCTAACTACAGCAAGAACCATAAAAGGCATTTCAGTGCACCTTCCCACATTTGCAGGGAGATTACGGCTTCCCTTCTTTCCAAAGAACTGAGACAGAAGTACAGGATTCGACCCATGCCCATCCAAACGGATGATGAAGTTCAGGATGTGTGAGGACATTACAGAGGGCAGCAAACAGGTGAAGCAGTCCGGGCTCACAGGAGGCAAGGTGTGGTCTCGGGAATGAGCGCCTCAGGAGAAAGCTAACGTTACCACGGTTCTGCAGGCGTTCGCCCTGGCAAGGTGGCTGTCCCAGACCAAACCTGGACAGAGACCACCACGAGGTCCCTGAACGGAAAACCAAATCTCGCCAAGCAGGAAAGAAAAAGGGCCAATACAAGGAAGAAACCATCGAGAAGATGAAGGAATGAAGTGATCTTATATGCAACTTTCATTAAAAAATTAGGCCCTGGCTGGCGTAGCTCAGTGGATTGAGCGCGGACTGGGAACCAAAGTGTCCCAGGTTCGATTCCCAGCCAGGGTACATGCTTGAGTTGCAGGCCATAACCCCCAGCAACCGCACATTGACGTTTCTCTCTCTCTGTCTATCTCCCTCCCTTCCCCTCTAAAAATTAAAGTGCAAAAAAACCCAAACAAACAACTGAGGCTCCCAGAAGGTTCTGAAAAGGGACAGACACGGTGGGTGAGGTCAGAGGTAGGTGGGAGGGCCCCTCACCCACGCTGGCCTGGGCCCCCCACCTAGCTCCAGAGACCCCTCTGCAGGTAAGGCAGCCGTGCCTCTGGGCGGGGCCCCTCCCCTCCCCCACAAGGCTCCTGGGTGTGCTGCTCAGGTGCAGAGGCAGAGGAGAATTTCTGTCCAAGCCCTTTTTCGGCTGTTCTGGAATCCCCACGGGGCTTCTCTCTTTCTCGCTGAAATCCCAACAGGAGCAACGTTTTCTTTTCTTGGGGCTTTGGCACAGACAGTGGGGGCTGGAGAGGGGGCGGAGGGGGCGGGTACGATCTGGAAGGGATTCTACGACCTTAACTTCTCTGTTAGGAATCCAAACCGCAATCTGAAAGCCAAACTGGTGACCATATTGAAAGGGAGAGAGAGAAAAAGAAGGAGGAAAATCCCCATTAAGGAAGCTGAGACCACAGGGCATTAGAGGCCGCTTGTAAATGTAATTCAGGCCGTTTATGGTGAGGCCGGGCTCCCGCCCGAGTCTTCAAAGCCAGGCAGATGCTGCCTCAGAAATATGATAAGCACCGTAGGGAAGATTACACGTGGGGCACGGAACAGACCTCAGGACGTAACTGATTCCTGAGAGCCGAGAAGAAGGCTGCCAAGCCCGACTGGGTCCAAGCAGGTAAAGGGAGGCCCCCTTTCCCGGCCGCTACGGGCTTGGCTCGGAGGGCAGGACCAGCAGAAGGAGCAGGGGCCTTGGCCGGAGTCCTGGGGTTCAAGTCCTGCCCGGGCGCTGGCTGGCTGTGTGACCTTGGAGCAGGTCCCCAGGCCCCTGGGCTCTCTGGATTCCCATCTGGAGACTGCAGGGCCCCGGCTCCACAGCTGCTCCTCCGAAGGCCCTCTGATTCACTGAGTGGGGAGGACGGCGCTGAGAGGGCAGAGGAGGTGTGAGACAAGTGACCAGAGTAGCTAAGGGCTGACTCCTTGCCAGGCACATGCTAGGAGCTTTCCATTGGGTTCTCCCCTTAATCCTCACGACTTTCAAGCAAGTATGTTCATTAAGCCCACTCTGCCCAGGAGGAGATGGTGGCCCAAAGGCTGAAGGACTTGTCTGAACTCACACATCTATCAAGTGGCTGAGCTGGCCTTTCAGCCTGGGGGTTTGGAGCTCGGAGAGTGAGGGGGAGACAGAAGGCATGAATTCAAACAGTTCTTTGGGCTCTGATCTCGCCTTGAGAGCTATGGGGAGGACTTAGGATTTTACAGACTGTGTGGCGGGCACGTGATGGGCCTCTCCTCCCTGCCGGGTGCTGGGTGGGGCCTGGGGGACAGCCACCTCAGGGGCCGACGCGGAATTAAGTCAACAGCCGTGGAGGGAGGGCTGTGCCCTGGGACGCGGAGTGCTGGCGGCCCTCCCGGGGCCTCTGCCTGTCGTATGCAGTGAATGAATGAGTGAGTGAGTGGACGGAGGAGTGTGACTGGGTGAATGACGGAGAAGGGA